GATAAAGATCCATTAGAGGTCTTACATTTAGCGGAGAAAGAGGCGCAATCGTGGCAGCTAGCTCAAAATGAGCTTCATACTTATAACCATGGTTTTTTAGATAATGAAAATCGAAACCGAGTGAGGGAAATATCACTGTTTATTCAGGATATCGTTGTTTCATAGATGGATCATGGAAAGGAACCGATACTTTTTCAGGAACAGGATGATATTGTACATCATCAAATGGAGAGATGTCAACCATGGGAGTTGCCAATATCCGTAGAAGTCTATCTCCTCTACATACATAAGTCGAAGCTCTTCTTTGGGCGATGAAGTATATGATTGGTGCTGACAACCAAGATGTAGCTTTCTTTAAAGACTGTTCAGATTTGGTGAAGATGGTGTCTTTTCCAACCGAATGGCGGCTTTTTCAGTGTATCTGGAGGACTTTCAGAGTGACAGGAAAGAATTTTCAACCTTTTCTCTATCTTTAATTCCTCATAGCTCAAATGTAAAAGCAGATAAATTGGCTCGACAAGTTCGTACCGAACCGCTTCATATCACATATCTAAACAACATTTCCAGGAATGGTTCTTTTGAGCTTTAATTTAAGCTGTTGACAAAAAAAATGGTAAATAATATCAAAATTTCATATGTTTTAAGTGCTTGCATGGAATTTATCTACTAATTTTTCAACATTTAATATAAAACTTATGTAGAAAAAAATATATCAACAACACTTAATCCAAACAAACTAAGTGTGTAGGTTATTATTTTTATTAATGAACACTAGAATTTGATCTATTATTTCGAGACAATTGGTAATAGATGTATTATCACAAAAAAAAATTGTGGTATATATTAATTTTTTTTTTATTATATAATGTTTTAAAGATAAAAGAATAAATTATATTTTATTAGTTATTCACAAAAATACTTCAAAAATTGAATATATTTAAATTATTATCAAAACATAATAACAATACAAATGTACTTTCCATATATTATTTTATGTAAACTTCGATCTGTATACAAAATAACTGAATGCATAACCCACGCATCGCGTGGGCAACTTTCTAGTTATTCAATACGACGAACAAGATTTTAGGATTTTTGGTTTTTAATTTTTACGAAAGGGCAGGGTGATCAAGATTTAAGAACAAATTATACACAACCTGTAGCATTCTCTGCATCCTTCTGGTCATTTTCACTTTCCAACTATCATTTGAAGACCATATGGTGGTGGAGATTGTTCCTCTGTGGTGGATCAACTGGATTGCTAATGTGCGCTTTTTGCTTGTACTACTGGTATGCGTGGACCGACTAATCGGGGTAAATGCAAGTCTCGTTCTTTTTTGGATACATGGCTTCCATCTCCCATATATGGAGTCTTCCTCATGCTTGGAACCATTTGATTTGGTTCTTCTCTTCTCCATAAACTGTGAATAAGCAGTGATTATTATTCTTTACCCTCCCACTACTCAATTTCTCAACATATTCGATATGACTAATTATTGTTTTCATTTCTGTATGATTATTTTAAAATGTTTTTATAAAGAAACGGTTTGCTTATAGAATTTTTTTTACTATAGAAAGTTAGATGTTGCTTAATTTTGTGGTTTTTGCCATGATTACCAAAACATTCTTGGTCCTCTAGCCTTGTTGACTACTTTTGAACAAAGCTTCAGTGAGTTTTCAGGAAGAAAATTATCCTGGTCATGATATTGTTTCCGGAACACTTTACCCGAGCTATGAATCAAAGGAAGAAACCAAACGGTCCAAACCTAAACTATTAGAGAATTTGAGTTAAGTTCGCTCTCCAACGGTCTAGGCATCTACCGTACTTACCGAAAATTCATTATTGACAACGTTTTGCAAAAGAAAACATACCCTAGTCTAAAACACGATTTAAATTCAAAATTAACATAAGCCAACTTCGTAACTAATGCCTAACCCCTTAATCAATATATATATATAAAAAAAAGATAATGCCTAACCCGAAAGATAAACCCAAAGTGAAACTCTTACTCGAAATCTAAACAATAACACTATTGTATATCGAAATCCTTTGTTTGAAACTAAAGCTTTAAACCTTGAAATCTAAACCATGACCTTAGCTTGGCTTTTCAGAAACATGAAAGTATAATATGGGTTGGCTATGTATTAGTTAAGTAAATAGACTAAATAGTCTAAAGTATCAATTTGTTACTGCGAGCCTGCGAACACGAATCCAAAGATAAATATATTGAATTTAAAAGTCTTCCAGAAGAAGTTAATATAAGAAAGCTACGTCCCAACTACTTCATTATTAAAAATGGTCTCCATTATTGTTATGAAAGTCGTGTTCACACTCTCATTTCCTTTCGCGATATAAAATAAAGTTATCTATAAAATAATATGACTTGATCACTTGAACGTAGCTTTGCTTGACTTGTAGTGTGACCCCTTTCTCAAAATTTAGCAAATCGATTATATTACCTGCACAAAATACATGTGTGCAATGAGTTCACAGATCAGATCAAAAGTTACATGCGAAAGTTAATATCTACAATAATTTATGGAGAAATTCAATGAACATTATTCAATCGCAAAAGAAAATACGATTGTAACTTGTATAGATAAAATAACATACAATTCTAAAAGGTTAGTCTTGTTGGAGTCTAAGTATAATATTGTGTCTTACAGATCCATAAATTCAAGAAAAATTTACAGTGTGTGCTACTCTTTAGTGAACAAATGAATATGTTGATTTATAATGGATCATTCATTCATCTTGTCTCGCTGTCCTTGGAGATGTGTCAGGTCTATGGATCATTCCATACTGATGTATTAAACTCCAATCTAATTTAGTAATTTTAACCTGCATAGCATGGGATACCACATTTCATGGTGATAATATTCATCATTTGGGATATTATTTAAGATATAAGAAAATTAACATTATTTAAGATATGACGGTAAAAGAGGGTATACTTGTCAGTGGTTTTTTTTTATTGAACCATTTCCATCCATATGATCCAATCAAATTCATCCAAATGAGTTTGAAAAATTTGTCTAACTTTACAAACTCATTCAGATGATTCATCCAATGATTCATCCAAATGCTCTGTCATATTGTCAAAAACAAACATCATTTTTCATCTCCATCTAGATGGATAGAAACAAAGAGGACCTCACATCCATGTAGTATCTCCCTATTAATTTTTTGACTACCAGTGAGTTCGGAAACTGCAACAATCTCCATAACTGGTTGGTTAGCAACGCCGAGTTGAAATCCTTTAGATTATTTTGTTGTTTTCTCGAGAGTAAATTTAAAAAACACTTTAGTGTTTAGATTTACAAAAATATTATTTCGTTTTTTATTTCAAAAAATAAAGCGCTATTCGTAATTACTATGTTTTAAAATATGGAAAAAATAGTTTTTCCTAAAATTTGAGTTGTTTGAGTAAGCACAAGTTAAATACTTTTAATTTTATTTGATGTAGCTTCTCTTAATTTTTTTTTGTATGAAGTTAAATATTCATAAAACTTTTCGTTTGTATGTACATACTTTATTATTGGGTTGTACTAAATATCTAACAAAACATGATGCAGAATCTTGCATAGAGTACCGATCGGATGAGCTGTCCTAGTTTTTTTATTTTTCTTCCGATGTATATATATATATATATATATATTAATACTTTTGAAATCTATTTTTATAACTACAAGTTGTACCATTTTATTCATTGACTTAAATGATCATTATCCTCCTTCATTTTTTATTAATACTAAAAGACCCTTCTCTTTTTTATAACTTACAAGTTGTATCATTTTATTCATTTACTTATATGATCATCTTCTTCTCTGTCAAATTCTGTAAGCAAGAAAGATCGTTAAGGGGTTAAGGAGAGACTTGAATCGTCGTTCCATAGCTAATCCATATTTTATGTGAAATAACTAGAATAACTCTGCTGATACCGGATCCCGCACCATGAATCCATCTGACGCATCGGAGGCCCATCTTTACAAAGTCCGAGAAGATCCATCTTGCACAACGGAGGTGATCAAATCTAAACATTAGTTTGTATTTTAATTCATGATTTAATAGTCATGGTCAAATGAGTAAACTTGTCATTCAAGTTTATAAATTGATTATGAAAGTTATTTTGTGAGTTAATTCTGAAATTTATGGCCAAGAAAAGACATCTAAGAGGAATAAAGAACTTAGAACACCGTCAATAGGGGTTTCTAAACATGATTCTTAATAAATAATGAAATATATATATTATTTAAATATTAGATGGATATCTTCAATTTGGAGAAACTTAGTCCAATTGTTTCTTAACTAAGTTTCTCTAAATTTAAGATACCCCAAATTAAAAAATATTATTTATCTATACTTACATTTTGATTTTATTTAAGAAACTCATGTTTAGAAATCCCCATTGAGAGTACTCTTATAAAAGACATGTGAAGACTCCAAGAAAAGGGGACTCCATCTTTTACTTCACCACCATTTTAGACACAAACAACGTTATTTCCAAAATTATATTGAAAACTATTTCTTCGCTTTATGTAATCAAACTTATATATATATATATAAAATAAATGAATATATATAGTTTATCTCTTTATTTTATTTATCAATTATTTAACAAATTTTGTGCTTCTCTCATGAAAGTTTTGTCCCATCTTTTTACATTGTGAATCGAATTAATTATTTACACATTAAACTCGACTAATATATATGGACTAAAACAAATTTACACTGATAACTATATTGTACCAAAAAATTACCGAATTTATATTATCTATATATTACTATACATCAAATCTTAGCCTACTAAATTTCATACTTCAAAATAAAAGTAAATATAAATGTTAATATTTTTAAAAATATTACAACCAAAAAAATATTAATAATTGATATTATTTCACCAATTGATCACTCTGTCCTGGCAGGGGTTAATAGCTACTAATATATAGTAGTACTACCATATCGTTCATTCCAAAGAAACAAACGTTTCATTTTCTTCAATAGAAAAAAGTATAGAGATGAAGAAAGCAGAGCTAATATTCGTTCCTCTGCATGGGACCGGTCACCTTTTGTCGACGATCGAGTTCGGAAAGCGTCTACTCAATCTAGACCGTCGGATTTCCATGATTACAATCCTTTCCATGAATTTCCCTTACGTTCCTCATGCCGACGCTTCTCTTGCTTCGCTCACAGCCTCCGAGCCTGGAATCCGACTCATCAGTCTTCCGGATCCACATCCGACCAAGCTTCTCGATACGTCATCCGATACTTACATACTCGATTTCGTCGATCAAAACATACCTTGTTTCAGAAAAACGATCCAAGATTTGGTCTCATCATCACCTTCTGGAGGTAGACATGTCGCCGGCTTGATTCTTGATTTCTTCTTCGTTGGTTTGATCGATATTGGCCGTGAGGTAAACCTTCCTTCGTATATCTTCATGACTTCCAACTTCGGTTTCTTAGGAGTTCTACAGTATCTCCCGGAACGACATTGCTCCGGCGAGGAAGAGTTAGAGATTCCGACGTTCGTGAACCGTGTTCCCGCCAAGGTTCTGCCGCCTGGTGTGGACAAAATTGGGGAGCGATTACGTGAAGCCAAGGGTATTTTAGTCAATTCGTTTACCGAAGTCGAGCCTTATGCTGCTGAACATTTTTCTCGAGGACGAGATTACCCTCACGTGTATCCTGTTGGGCCGGTTCTCAAATTAACGGGCCGTACAAATCCGGGTCTAGCTACCGAAGAGATGATGAAATGGCTTGACGAGCAAACAGACTCGTCGGTTTTGTTCCTGTGTTTCGGGAGCATGGGAGTCTTTCCTGCACCTCAGATTACAGAGATTGCTCACGCGCTCGAGCTCATCGGGTGTAGATTCATCTGGGCGATCCGTGCGAGTATGGCGGGAGATGGCGATCCTCACGAGCCGCTTCCAGAAGGATTCGTCGATCGAACAATGGGCCGTGGAATTGTGTGTAGTTGGGCTCCACAAGTGGATATCTTGGCCCACAAGGCAACAGGTGGATTCGTTTCTCATTGTGGATGGAATTCTGTACAAGAGAGTCTATGGTACGGCGTACCAATTGCCACGTGGCCGATGTATGCGGAGCAACAGCTGAACGCATTTGAGTTGGTGAAGGAGCTGGACTTAGCCGTGGAGATAAGACTTGACTACGTGGCAGACGGTGATAGGGTTACTTTGGAGATCGTGTCAGCCGATGAAATAGCCACAGCCGTCCGATCATTGATGGATAGTGATAACCCTGTGAGAAAGAAGGTTAAAGAGATATCACAAGTGGCGAGGAAAGCTGTTGGTCATGGTGGTTCTTCTATGGTGGCTACAGCAACTTTTATCAGAGATATTCTTGGGGATCACTTTTGATCATTTTCTTTGGGAGCAAAATAATTATGTAATTTGTAATAAATAAACAAATGTTATCCCTAATTATATATAAAAAATTTCTTTGAGACGTCACACTAATGAAGTTATATTTAAGAGATTCAGAATTAGGTGGTGGGCAGTTCGATTACTGTCCGAGACAAAGCTTACATGATGCCAAGAAAGAATTTCCCGGGTTGGGACTTAAGTAGTCAAAATCTCATGTTGGTTAAGGCTACGGTTAGAGATTGGACCGATGGTGAAGCTACGTTCAAGGAAACCGTAGTATACTAATTTTCCTCATTTTTGAGTTCAATAAACCTGAGGATTCAGTTGCCAAAATTGACCATTAATAGCGGACTCAAATGATGCATTTGAAAAAGGACCATTTATCTACTAAAAAATGGCACCACAGTTAATGTTTTTGGTCATATTGTTTCAAAGTTGTGGCTATTTTTTTGGGTTTGAATTTTAGTTCAAACCACATAAAGTTTAGACTTCTTTAAGGAACTACAAAAAAAATACATACTTTCCAGTCCAGAACTACACTAGCTTGAAAATCAATCCGCAACCACTTGGTGTTTAGATTTTAGCGGTTTTTGTTCAATCTAGTCTAAAACGCTATTTAAATTCAAAATTAAACTAAGCCAACTTAACTAATGCCTAACCCGAAAGATAAACCCGAAGTGAAACTCTGACCTGAAATCTAAACAATAACACAAAATTGAAATCCTTTGTTTGAAACAAAAGCTTTTAAGCTCGAAATTTAAACCATGACCTGAAAGCTTGGCTTTTGAGAAACATGAAATTGTAATTTTGGTTGGTTATCTATTATAGTAGTATGACCTGGCGACACAAAAGATGGATGATGGGTGTTTTTCTTATAACTAGCCAACGTTATTAATTTGATGCTGTGAGCCTGCGAGCACGAATCCAAAGATAAATTATTGAATTTAAAAGTCCAGAAGAAGTTAAGAACGACGTCCCAACTACTTCATTTACTTTTACAAAACTAAAAAAAAAAAAAAAAACTACTTCATTATTGTCTAAGATCATCTCCAATGTATTTCCCTATTTTCACCTCCATCTCTATAATAGATGTGAGTTTCCTCTATTTTTACTCCAATGTATTTCTTTATTTTGTTCTCTAAAAAATTAACTCTATTTATAGAAGAAAAAATAGAGGTCCTCTATATATAGAAGAAAAAATAGAGATCTCTATTTTAAAGGTGAGAATAGAAGTGGGTTGGAGTAGATTTACCTCTAAAATAGAGTTTAAAAGCAAATATAGAGGTAGGTTGGAGATTTACCTCTAATTAGCTAATGAACAAAATTATTAAATATAGTCACCATTAATATCCATTATTTTCATGAAAGTCGTGTTCGCATTCTCATTTCCTTTCGCAACATCCCTTATATATTAATAGAGAAGCACTTTAAAAATAAACCTTATCTTGACGTGTTATTAACTAAACTGCCATGCTGACATGTCGCTCTCAGAGTGAATTTTCACTCATTTAAATTATTACCCAAATTTTACTAGACTATTTACAGATTTTGCCATTAGTCTTAATACATACATATATCATACAAATAACAAAAAAACGAAATTATAATTAAAAAGCAAATAATTAGGCAACTGATATCATATTTATATTTAACAACAAATCACGGGATCTTTGTTTATTTATATTAATAATCTATTTTCAATAATTAAAAAGGAAAAAAAATTGTGTTTATCTTATATTAATAAATTTTTATATTTATATTTTTTTTTATATACATTTATATAAATCTTCTCTAGCCGATGGGCAAAAAATCTTTTTATATATATATATATATATATATATGCTTATATTTAAATGATAAAAGATATACATTTTGTTCAAGAATCTCGAATTCAAAACTACAAAATCTCTAAATCTTTCATAAAATTTTATATCTATTGTACTTAAATAAATAAGATAATCTCTTTTCTATACATGTTACGGATACTTAAAATCCGATTTTTTTGGAGTGGTTCTAACTTTTCGAAGAAAAACATTATAACCACATTTATATATAAACCAAAATCTGGCCACATTATAACCTCTTTTTTTTGTCAAACGGTCACATTATAACCATTTCGTAAATAATCCATTCATGATATAAGAATCTTATATTTGGAACACTACAAAATCTTAACTCGGAAACTATCAAATATCATCTTTGCTAAATTTTTGGATTTCTTATACTTAAATAATAATAAAAAAATTATTTTTATACTACAAAATCTCGAAATCTTTAAAACATACGGAAAGACATATTGCCATAAATGGTAACATTTCGTCAATAATTTCTTTATCACGTTGAAGCTTTATTCAAGGTTCAAATATTCCACGGGTAAAACGTATTCTTATATATACATAGTGCGGGTTGTTATCTAGTAAAATAGTAAAGGAGAATGACTTGAACGTACCTTTGCTTGACTTGTACATATGTGACCCCTTTCTCAATATAGTCTACCTAAACAATTTCCAACAAAATTTAGCAAATCGATTATTACCTGCACAAAAGTCACATGCGAAAGTTAATAACTATAAAATTTTATGGAGAAATTCAATTAACATTATTCAATCGCAAAAGAAAATACGATTGTAACTTGTATAGATAAAAGAACATACAATTCTAAAAGGTTAGTCTTGCTGGCGTTTAAGTACAATATTGTGCCTTATAGATCCATAAATTCAATAAAAATTTACAGTGTGCTACTCTTTAGTAAACGAATGAATATGTTGACTACTAGTGAGTTCGGAAACTGCAACAATCTCCATAACCATTGGGTTAGCAAGGCCGAGTTGACATTAATTTCGATTGTTTTTTTTTTTTTTTTCTCAGAGAGTAAATTTAAAAAACACATTAGTGTTTAGATTTACACAAATATTATTTTGTTTTTTTTTTTCTTTCAAAAAGAGGTAAAAATGATTGTTTCCTAAAATATGAGTTGTTTGAGTAAGCACAAGTTGTCTGACGGAAAGAACTTTTAATTTTATTTGATGTAGCTTCTCTTGTATGAAGTTAAATATTCATAAACTTTTAATCGACTCTTCAACTTCTCGTTTGTATGTACATACTTTATTATTGGGTTGACAAAATATCTAACAAAACATGATGCAGAACCTTGCATAGAGTACCGATCGGATGAGCTGTCCTAGTTTTTTATTTTTCTTCCAAAGTATATATAAACTAGATTTTAACCCGCGGTACACCGCGGGACTATATTTTCCTAAAAAAAAAATCAAAATGTAATTTGTTTGATAGATTATTTTGATTGTTAATTTTAGGATTTCACCCGTAGTATACTATTTTTTATAAATATCAACCCAAACCCGTCTTATCATATTACCCGTCCCGTGAAATTAAACATCATATATGGAAACAATTTTTGGAAATCGTTTAGTTTTAAAAAATATGCAATAATATATATATATATATATATTTCTTGTTATCGAATGAGAGGATATTATGTGTAAGAAATGTAGAAAATAAGAGTTTAATACTTTTATTATGGATTTGCAAGAAAAATCTTTTATTTCTGTACATATTATTCGTTTATTAATAATAAAAGAAAACAAATATTTTAAATTAGATATTAACTAAAATAAACGCATCTTAATTACTTATTAAGTAACAAACAATAAATTTCACCAAAAATAGGTAATAACCTATAGATTCTAAACGCAGTAATTAAAGAATAAGATATTAAAAAAGGAATATAAAATAAGATATAAGAATCTTAAAATAATTGAATATCTAAATAATTTAATTGTTAGTGTCGATTTTAATGTCTTCCTTAATGGAAATTTTTTTTTTACAGAGAAATATTTCTTAAAGTTTATCACATTAATGACTCAGAAAATTAAGGAAGATCTGATTTTATGATTGTCGAAATCGTGTTGGTAATATCTTTAATTAATTTTTTCAAATTTAAATAATTAATGACAATGGCATTCATCCGTAAATAAGGTGGAACTCTAGGATTTATTTGCTAAATGTACTCCAAAAATGTATATATAGATATTAATACTTTTGAAATCTATTTTTATAACTACAAGTTGTACCATTTTATTCATTGACTTAAATGATCATTATCCTCCTTCATTTTTTATTAATACTAAAAGACCCTTCTCTTTTTTATAACTTACAAGTTGTATCATTTTATTCATTTACTTATATGATCATCTTCTTCTCTGTCAAATTCTGTAAGCAAGAAAGATCGTTAAGGGGTTAAGGAGAGACTTGAATCGTCGTTCCATAGCTCATCCATATTACCAGTAAGCTTTCTTCCTTAGAATCATGTCTTTGATTAGAATACAACCCATCTCGCTTTACAAAGAGAACTAAGATTATATTATTGTCGACTGTTCAACTTCTCGTTTGTTTGTACTAATTGTCTAACAAAACTTGATTCAGAAAAAAGGTCTTTCACTTATCGAAGATGGGATCCAATGAACCTTGCATTTATAGAGTACCAAGTCATATACGTGATGTGAAACCTCAAGCCTATACACCTCGTATGGTCGTCATTGGCCCACTTCATCGTTATCCCAAATTAACTACCATAGACGGGGCTGAAACTAGTAGCCATCCATGGTACGTGAAACACAAAATATATATTTAATATCTTCTATTATTAAAGAATTATATATTAATTTAATTTATTTAGTCGATAAAATGCATTAAAAACTGAAGTTTTATCTTATACTTTATAGAATCCACATAAAAAAAATTATTTTTTATTCTAATCATATTTGTTTAAATATACGATATATATTTTCATGCATATTTACCCCAAAAAAATAATTAATGGATGTTTATTAGGCATATAAAAGAAGAATATAGTATGATGGAAGCCAGAAAAAAGGTGTACTTCAAAACTTTTTCAACATTAGTCCGTAAAGATGCTATTGTGGAAATGAGGAAAATCATACAAGGCGAGGAAACAAAAATTCGGGATAGCTATGAAGAATCGACTGAATGGATACCATCCGAATACTTCGTGGACCTTATCCTTCATGATGCTGTGTTCATTATGCAGTTCCTTCTTACTACGCGAGTTGGACGTTCATATGACGAGATTATGGACCAAGAGTCAATGGTTAGAAATGATTTAATCTTGCTCGAGAATCAACTTCCCTTTTTCATCTTGGATCGCTTGTTCAGTTCCGATAGATATTTCATGTCCGATATGATGAGATTGCATAGATGTCCCACCATTAAAGATTTCATCTTAAATGCTTTTGGCCTAATAATCGAAGAAAATCCAAACTTCAAGCATTTCACAGACATGTTTCGGTACGTTTATGAAAAATCGCTAGACGACATTCCAGTATATATGGAAAGAACTCCCTGGAGATGGCCACATAACATAGAGTTGATGAACGCGGATAATCTATCAAAGGCAGGAGTGAAATTCAAGGTAAAGTTTTATCTTTTCAAGTTTTCTATAAGACTACTTTGTTTAAGGTCATTGTTTGCTTTTGATTGGCATGCATATTGTACATACTCAGTACTCTATAACTTTAGAAACGTAATTGGGTTTCTATAAACGACGTCGTTTTGAAATACTTTCTACCATAGTAGTCTCAATTCCTTTCTTCTTTTTTTTTTTCAGTCATCAGGTCTTTTGAATGTATACAACCCTGTTGCCGTACCCAGGTTTACACGGATGACGCCTCCTACGCCTAATGAACTCAAAGACATAAAAAGGTATATAACATCAATTAAATAGTGTCACTAGAAATTCGACGTAAAAAATTTAAATTATTAATAATAAATGATACAATATATAATCTGACATAAATTATTATACGTCAGTTTATTATCAATTAGTCATATTAATATATTTTATATAATAATTCATTTTTGAAATATTCATGGGGGAATTTCAAAAATACTTTTTTCCAATACCATTTTTCAAAAATACACAATCTCTAAAACTTTATCAAAATGTCCATAAAAATATGAGATTTATCCAAATACGTGTGTAACCTTATTAAAACATCCACAAACTATTTATGTGTAAAATTTTATAAATACTTTATTAATACGGTATACATACTTTATAAATACCTTGTAAAAGTTTATAAATACCTTGGAAAACTTTATAAAACCTTTTAAAATACTTAATAAAACCATATAAATATTTGGATCGAGTCTCCAAGTAAAAGTTACCATCTAGAAGTAACTTATAAACCCTATAAAATGTTATAAACTTGATACAATTGAATCAACTGATTAAATTGATACAATTTTTTTGCATCCTTATTTTCATAATCACTTAAATAAATGAAGTAAAACTTGTTTGCTTCAATTATAGTTAGTACATGCAAATAAAATCATCAAAATTAATGACTTTATATATCTGTTGTGCCTCGTACAGAGCGATGTTTGGGGTGTTTTCGTTGCATGTGGAGTTTAAGAAAGGTAGATTAACGATGCCGAGTTTTCGTGCTAATGAATGGTTTGATATGGTTCTAAGAAATGTAATAGCATTTGAGCAGTGCCATGTTTCCCTAACACCCTTTACTACCAACTACATACATTTCTTAAACTTCCTAATTACTTCCGATAGAGACGTCGAGGTACTCAGCGAAGAAGGTACAAACATCACAAAATTACTACATTTAACTCTTAATTGATATGGATACCAACAATAAATGTGTGTGCTTCTTGAACACAGGGGTGGTAACAAACAATTTGGGACGGGTGAGCTTGGTGGTGGACATGGTGAACAACTTACAGGTTGGTGTGAAAGTAGGGACCAACTCCCAATACTTCTACATGGCCAAGGATCTTAGAGCTCACTGTAAATCTCGAAGAAAGAGGTGTTGGGCGACTCTCAGAAAAGTCTACTTTAGCGACTTATGGACCGGAACAGCAACTTTAGCCGCAGCGTTTCTCTTGCTTTTGACTCTGGTCGGAACGGTTGCTTCTGTCATCCAAGCTTACGAAAGCTTCAAGTAACTACATATGCTTTATCGTCCAAAACTTATTTCCAAGTTTTCCTTTAAGCTTATTCATGTACTTTGGTCACTGGTTGTTCATTTCTCAAAAAGATTGTGTTTTTAACACGGGACAAGACTACGAAATTTATATATTATTCCTCTCGGCCAAAAGTCTATGGATTATTTCCATGCCACGAACCACAAAGACTAGGTGCCCAAACCCGGAAATATATTACTCTATGTATACTTCTTCGCACCAAAACTAGAAGCAGAGCCAAAAAGTAATAATGAAAAATTAACGTTGTTGAAGACTAGAACAAGAATGGTGAAGGCCAAAACAGACCAAATGCTACCACTAGACTACAGAACAATTACAAATTTGAAGGCTAAAAACTTTATATACATTATCGACCGCAAGCATGGACTTGCCCATCTTGTACTCGTCACCGGCTCTAACTAGAAAGGTGACACAAAAACTAACTAAGGATATTGTTAACAAACTTTTAGGCTTTTACTCTTTCACTAAGTTTTTTAAGCACCGGCTTGAGCATCAGAATGCTTTCTTTGGAACAAGCCCGACAGAATAGGGTAGGGCAGGAATGCAATGGCTTATAGCTCACATCCATTATAAAAAATTACATAGAAGAAAGACCCATAATTTTTGAAAAAAAAGTTTAGAAAATTATTAATAAAGGCCTTAATTTCATTAAAAATATATTAGAAAAGCCCAAATAATTTTTTTTAAATGAATTTTTTTTTTACAAAAAGCCCAAATTTACAAAAACTGTTAAAACTGCTTAAAATTTACTTGTAAAAGATTTCAAAAAATGCACAAAATAATTTTCCGATAACAAAAGTCCAAATTTTTTTTGGCCTTAAGGCTCTAATATACTTTGAGTCGGGAATGCTTCGGAAGACACTACATTAATGGCTAAGTCTAGACACAAAGTAGTGGATGCTAATTAAAAGTGGTATTGTTAGTCAATTAACAGTCACAAACGTTCGGAGGCCAATTATTAACGTTCAGAAGCATCAATGAGCGTTTGGGCAGAACCTATGGTACAGAACGGGTCACATCACGAGTTTGTGTCCACAAAATGATATTGGGATTATGTAGAACAAATCTCAGATTTTATTGTGAAATAAAAGCTTTTGTTGTCTCTAACCAAAGAATTGAACAAGATCATATTTTGTGCATCTTGCGTATTACTATATATTCTTTACTACACAAATACATATAGAAAATAGTACGAAAATGTATGCAAAAGTATAAAAAGAAAATAATATAATATTAGCTTTGTAGCAAGAATTCGGTGTACTTCCTTATGCCTTGAGGGATATATATATATATATATATATATAATAATTTACATTAATTTGATAATTAATGTATAATTATTATTAAATGTTTCCGATTTGATTCTTCAATCAATGCCATAACGTCTTTGTTTGAATCCTTTTGAACCCTTCATGGACCTTCGAGTGCTTGCCCCACTACCCGACCTCGAACTGTCCCTTCTCTTCGGCATGCCGTCCGAGCTATTCAGTTTGTTTCGACCTTAATTGGAGACTTCGGTTCGAGTGCACATCTTGTTAACTACCGTTTGGTTGACTCATTATTCACGTGGTAATCTTCGGATGGATCCAAACGTAGAGTTCGGAATCTGACACTAACAACTACCATCAAAACCATAAACACTTATAATCATTTTTGCCACTTAGCCATCGCTCTTGTCAAAAAAACTATACCACATACCATCATCTTCATCATTGTCGCCTCCATATCTTTTTCCCGACCACCGTCCACTTCTCGAGAGATGTGCAATGAAAAGAGAGAAAAGAAAATGAGAGATTAAAATTAAAGAAAAAAAGATACGGAGAGAATAAAGTAACTTCATCAACTCTATTGCTAAAGAAACAGTGGTCAATTTGCCTACCTAATTTTTCAATCCTCTATGATCATATATTGTTATTAATTTAATGTAAAATTTGCCTACCTAATTTTTCAATCCTCTATGATCATATATTGTTATTACCCAAAATTAAAAAAAAAAAAGACATTCTAGAAATTTTCATAAAATTTGAAAAAGCCGTTGTGAATCAGCTGTTAAAAAATGAATATTAGAAATTATTAAGGTTTTCTAAAAAAAATTGTTGTATTTTTAGAAAATAAAGTTTATTTTTTGGGTATTGTTTTAGATTTTGCATCTAATAAAATCATTATTTTAGAAATAATCATTTTTATCCATTTTATCTCATTCCTGGAAACGCTGATATAATTGTCCGAAAGCCCTAAAAATCTCAGTCTCGCTCTCAAGTCCAAACACTTTCATTTTTCTCCTTTTTTCAAATCCACAGAGATCTCTCCTCACCTCATGGCTCCAATTACCGTCGGTGATGTTGTACCAGACGGAACCATCTCCTTCTTCGATGAGAATGATCAACTTCAGACCGTCTCCGTTCACTCTCTCGCCGCCGGTAAAAAAGTCATTCTCTTTGGTGTTCCTGGTGCTTTCACTCCCACTTGCAGGTACAAAGTTTCAACCTTTTTCATCATCTCTCACTTAATTCTCAAATTTGCATTCAAAGTTTTGATCTTTTTTTCTTCTTCTCAATTCAGATTAGGTTTTTTTTCTTTTCAGATTTAGCCTTTGAATTAGTTTTATAAGATGTGGGTTTTGATGCTAAGCTGATGAATCTGTAGATTTGATTTGAGAATTGTGTTTTTGGTTTTTGTGAGGTTAGCATGAAGCATGTTCCTGGGTTCATTGAGAAAGCAGAGGAGCTGAAGTCAAAGGGTGTTGATGACATCATTTGCTTTAGTGGTGAGTATGAATTGATATGTTTTTGATCTCTATGATGAGTTTGTGTATACTTCTGAAACCTCTATGATATGATATGTTCTTAACTGTTGTTAGTCAAGGGTCTTTAGAGATTCCGAGGCCTGTTGCCGAGTATATGGACTCGCGGTAGCCGTATTATTAGATTCATATGGTAGTTGGTGTCCCTAATAGTAAATTGTAGAGTATTACAATTAGATTAGTTATTATATTTGGCTGAGGCTGCTTGTTGTGCAAATGTTTTGGCAGATTTTTATTTATGCTGCTTGGTTTTATAGTATTTACGCCATCATTTGGATCGATTGTTGCAGTGAACTATGGTTTGATGTCAGGTCTGTTCTTCGGTATAATCTTACTGATTTCTGACCTCTATGTGTTTGTGTCTACTTCTGAAATCTGATCGCTTGCTAGTCAAACATGTGAAAGCTCAAGGCTAATGGTAGTTGGTGTCCTTAGTAAGAGATTGTAAAAAAAATGCAGCATATTGGTTTTTGTATTTGGCGATGTGAAATGTTTGGTAGACTGATTCAAATGGTTTTATACTATTGACGTGTTATCACTTGGTTCGATTGTTGCAGTGAACGATCCGTTTGTGATGAAAGCATGGGGAAAGACATACCCAGAGAACAAACATGTGAAGTTTGTAGCTGATGGGTCTGGAGAATACACACACCTTCTCGGACTTGAGCTTGACCTCAAGGACAAGGGTCTTGGTGTTAGGTCAAGGAGATTTGCTCTGTTGCTTGATAACCTCAAGGTGACTGTAGCCAATGTCGAATCTGGTGGTGAGTTCACGGTTTCCAGCGCCGATGATATCCTCAAGGCTCTCTAAGAAACGTACCACTCGTTTGTTGTCTTGTGTATGTAAACCGCTGTATGTGAAGTAGAGGATTCTATTATCTATAGCCTGATTTCAGACAACAAGCAGGCATAATAAAGCGGTGTCATTGTGACTTTGTTGGCATAATATAGTATTTGGTTTTGGTGTTTTTCTTTGCGTTGATTTATATGAAAGATATGAGTAACAAACGACACTTATTTTAGAACAAAATTTGAATTTTACAATGACACTTAATATGTAACGGAGAAAGGGAGTTTATTAAGAATTTTTTTTAAAAAAAAAACTCAATTTTAAGTGTCATATTTCCAAAATATGTGTACATGTTCTTTTATTTTTTTTCGGTTATTAGGGAGGGTTTCCTAAATAAGATTGTTGTATTTTTGGAAAACAAAGTTTATTTTTGGATATTGGTTCTAATATTTTACATCTATTTTTTTTTCTTAAATTATAATTTTAGAAAATCCATTATATTTTTATGGTCAAACTAAATTAAGAATTCTATTAATGATATATTTCATTCCGTAAAACACTATAAATTGTCCTAAGGCCTAAATTCATTTTCCATCTCAAGTCAAACAAAACTCTTCTATTTTCCTTTGTCTTCAAAATCCACAGAGATCTCTTCATGGCTCCAATTACTGTCGGCGATGTTGTACCAAACGGAACTATCTCTTTCTTCGATGAAAATGATCAGCTTCAAACTGTCTCCGTTCACTCTATCGCCGCCGGTAAAAAGGTCATTCTCTTTGGTGTTCCTGGTGCTTTCACTCCCACATGCAGGTAAGAAAAGTTTCAAACTGAAGTGGGTTTGATTCTAAGCTGATGGATCCTTAGATTTTTATTTGAGAATTGTGTTTATGGTTTTTGTGAGGTTAGTATGAGCCATGTACCTGGATTCATTGGGAAAGCAGAGGAGTTGAAGTCAAAGGGTATTGATGAGATCGTTTGCTTTAGTGGTACGTATGAAATTGATATGTTTTTGGTCTTTGCTCTGTTTTGGCCTCTTTGAGTTTGTGTACAGTAGACTTAGGCCGTGATTTACATCTGTTGTTGCAGTGAATGATCCATTTGTGATGAAGGCATGGGGAAAAACATACACAGAGAACAAGCATGTGAAGTTTGTAGCAGATGGGTCAGGAGAATACACACATCTTCTTGGACTTGAGCTTGACCTTAAGGACAAGGGTCTTGGTATTAGGTCAAGGAGATTCGCTTTGTTGCTCGATAACCTTAAGGTGACTGTAGCCAATGTCGAATCTGGTGGCGAGTTCACGGTTTCCAGCGCAGAAGATATCCTCAAGGCTCTCTAAGAAACTTTATTTTTCGCTTGTTGTGTTGTGAATCTAAACTGCTGTATGTGAAGAAGAGAATTATATAGCTTGATTTCAATCAACAAGCAAGTGTTTGACTTGCTTGGCATAATAAAGTATTTGGTTTTGGTATTTTTCTTTGTGTTTATTTATGAAAGATACGAGTAATTCAAGTGATGATGCATACCAAATCTTTTCATTGTTGTTCTGGACTATGGTAGGCACTAGGCCTCGTCATAAAAACCAAAACCGAAGCAAACCGAGAAGAGGGTTTCGGTTAGGTTTCGGATACCACTATCCGAATGGATCTCACACTATCCACTGGATATCGGTTCGGTTTGGTTATTTTCCGATATTGCGATATCCATAGGTACCCGAATGGAACCGAAGTATTTGACCAACCCTTTACAAGCCTACAACGTAACTAAGCCCAATAAATTTTGGCCCAACCTATAACCCAATTTATTTTAAGATTTCACAAAACATTTTAAGAAATTTCACAAAAGCTATAAATAATAGTTCAGTAACAATGGCTTAAAATGAGTTTCAAGCTTATAGAATCCATAGTAACTGGCTCAAATAGATATTCCAACACATAAACGCCAAGTCCTCACAAGAATGAAGAACCTCTTTATTCACACACAAACACAACACACTTGCTCAGCACACACCATTCATCTTCTTCCTATCCTTCACAAACTTCCTCCATCCAACAATAACTTCCATCAGAACCTCCTTCTCCATTTTCTTCTCCTTAACATTGTCTGCAATCCCTTCTATTCCCATCTTCTTAGATATCTTGGAAGGCAAGGTATCTAGCTCGTGAAGCACCTTCACAATATCGACTACAAGTCTTTCCGCAAGTGTTCTTGAGAAATCTTCCCTGATGACAACACGTAGAACCGTGATGTGTTGCGCATCCGCAGGCATAGTGTAAGCCGGGACGATCCATCCAAAACGGCGTAGCATCTCAGAGATCTCGAACTCGTTGTGGAAACTATGGTCCTTGAGAGAGAAGGCTACGACTGGCACTCCTTGGTCCTTGGAAACTATGTTGAAACGCTCTGTTTTCTCTATCCCTTCTTTGAGAATCACCATGTTCTCTATGCAATTCTCCATCACATTCTTGTACCCCTATTCAAATCAAAAGAGTCATGAAGAAATGATTTACTTACTATTAATGTTTCTGTTATTCAAATCAATTTTTTTTTGTAAATTCTCCATTGAAAATGTAAAAAAAAACATGTTTGATATGAATAGACTCACCTCGAACCCAAGACGAATGAGTTGATAGTATTGAGCAATAATTTGGCTCGATCCTACAAAACCATGCAAAAATGTTCATAACACTATATAACCATCCATCACAATTCAACTAGATAATTATGAATCATATAAACATACCCTTGGAGAAATTGAGAGTGAAAGTGGGTTGATCAGAACCAAGATAGTTAATATGAAAGATAAGCTCTTCAGGCAAATCCTCTGATGCCCTCCACACGACCCAACCAATACCAGCATAGACAAGTCCATACTTGTGACCACTCACGTTGATGCTCTTAACCAAAGGAAGTCTAAAGTCCCATTCCAATTCAGGATAGATAAATGGAGCTATGAACCCTCCACTTGCTGCATCTACATGGATTGGTGTGTTCCAACCAGTCTCCTCATTTTTCTTGACCAGCAAGTCATTGAGACGCTTCACGTCTTCGAACTCACCATTGAGTGTGGAACCAAGAATGGCCGCGACACATATTGTGTTCTCGTCCACCATTTCTGCTGCTTTGTCTGGATCCATCACGTAGTAACCTTCACTTAACTTTACCTCTTTTAGCTCCACCTCGAAGTACCGAGCGAATTTCTCCCAGCACACCTGAAGTAGGACCCTCTTTGTGAGTTACTATGTTTAATATACACAAATTTATTTTCTAAAATGAGGGTGTTTCATTTTGATAAAACCGAACCAATCCTATTCGAACGAAACACAAAAAATTCAATCCAAAAATAGAACTTGTACAATTGTATTTTACTTTTCTAATAGCCGAAAAGCTAAAATCGATTTCAAACAAAAACCGAAAAGATAACAAAAATAGAAACCAGAATTTAATTTTTTTTGAAAATTATAGTTTATTTGATTGGAAACCGAATCTGAAACAAAACCAAACCATGAAAAAAAAACCGATACTAGAAGTTCGTCAAAAAAAAAAAAACCGATACTAGATTCGATTTTAAGACCTAAAGTCCAAAAAAAAAAACTGTTCCAAATTCTTATCCATTTTGGAAATTTCATACAAATGGATTAAACAAAAATATATACAATAGAAGTCAATTTATACGAGTGGACAAATGATTTTAAAAACCAAAACAAAGTAATATATAACCAAAAAAATATGTCTTGGAATATTTTTCTAGATATATTAAGTATTATTCTAACTAAACCCTCTCTTTATATATTACTAGGTAAAAACCCATGTCATGCAGGAGTAATCTTATGCTATTTAATTTTATGATAGAACAATTTATAAATAAAACTCAAAGTTTTAATCATTGAATCCGAGATGTCAAAACCAAATTTTATAGATGCGCTAAAATATTTTAAATTAATTATATAGGATGCTTTTCACCATTGTACTATGAAGATGTAAAAAATACTTACTTGAACATTGGCTCCGGTGACAATGTTGGGTTTGTCATAGGGTTTACCCTCAGCCTTGCGTCTGTTTTGCCATTTTCTTTTGAAGGCCAATCCGGCTAACATGATGGCTTCTGAAGAACCAACTGTCCCTACTCCCACCGCAGTCTCGGATTCCTTGAGTGGCGCATTGAACAGTCGAGCTATAATGTTTACACATCGGTTCTGTTTTTCAAAAAAAAATCAAAATCATGAACTATGAGTAGGATTTTAATTGTAGCCAACAACAGTAACAACAGTAGCTAGTAGTCGTTTCTTCACTTTAAATTCTGATTTTTTTTTTTTTGTTTACAAGATTGATATAAGTTTTATGACAAAAGAAATTCGATGTACAAATGAAAGAATCCTTTTCTCTTATTCTTTCTTGTGTCAATCTTTCACTCTCTACTAACTCAGTTTGTTCTTCATTTTTGGTGAATTACATTAAATTATTAACAACACAAATTTTATTAATCCATGAATTGTGAACCTAATAAAACATAACAATAGAAAACAAATAACATCTGTTGACATTTAATTATTATCAGAAAATCTTAAACGAGTAAATTAGTGAATCCACCAAATTCAATGATTTATTAAGCAAAATATCTCTAGACTTTTTATCAAATAAAACGGTAATTGATTTTGGTAAATTAAAAGATATTATAGTATTGCTAATGCGCTATATATATATAAACAATATGACAGCATAATAATGGCGATAAAGTATAAGGTATCAAAGGCACACAGTGATGCGATCACATAACCATTTATGAACAAACAAGTACCAACTTCTTAATGGTGAATTTTTCAAAGTTTCATATGATAGAATCAATGTGACAATTGACCTATCAACCACGAGATTTTAATGGTGGGTGGGCTCCTCCTAGGTTTCATCACAAGTCACAACTGTTTGTATTCTCTGCATAAATTTATTTACTTTTATCTTCTTTTTTCTAACTTATAATTTATTTTTAATGCATGGTTTTCTTTTGTCAAACATAAATTGAAACGTTTACCACGCGGTGTCCGTGAAAACCTTCCCTCAATCTATTAGTTCACTTTTCAACTTCAATATATAGATATATATACAGATAATCAAATGGTACCACCTAGTGGAAAAAAGTTGAGTGGACCAATCAAAACCATTTTTTTTTAATGATTAAGAAATTCTGGATCTAGGTTCGTATATTCTCTCAGGCCAAGAACCATAACATTTTTTGTAGTTTCTTGAAATTTTTAACCAGTTGAACTATTGACACTTGGTCAAAACCAAAATTTGTTTGTGGTGATATGTGGAGAAAAGAGAAGTTGCCGACAAAACTGTAATTTTTATCCTTCGGCAATTCAATCATTCTGCTTTACCATCTTTTTCTCCCATACTTTTGATCCTCAAAGATTTAGGTGTTTTCTACTTTAATTATTCTACTTGATTGATTCATTTCTGATGAATAAAAACCAGATGAATATACCGATTGGTTTATCGATAACCGAATGTGATATTTTTCTAAGTTCAAATCAAGTGGGCCACTAGTATGGATGACAATTTAACATTAGTCAATACCAATTATTTATGATCAAGAGAACAACTTACAAAACGAGTAAGTCCACTAGTCTAAAAGCATGGATATGTCGGCCAATAAAAGCTAGAAACGTATGGGTCATATTTCTAAAAAAAAAAAAGAAACGTATGGGTCACTTCTGATAAATGAAAGCTAGAAACGTATGGGTCATAGTACTAAAAATAATGATAACTTGTCTTCTTCTATATTGTTTTAGACAAAAACAAATGTACGACTAATACTAAACAATGAATATGATTATATGAGTTTATCAAACAGCTTTATTCAACTTCCACACCCTCTCTAATCTCTAATCCAAATTTTATACATTTTCGTTATCCATTTAAAAAAAATTAAACTAAAATGAAACGAATCATATTTTCTAATGAAACCATTACGCAATTGTAAGTTTGTAACCATTCCAAGACAAATTAGATCTACCACCATTACTTAGATTATATTATGAATATAGTAATTAGGAAATATAAAACATCGAAAGATGGAGGTACCTGAAACTCAGTTGTGACAGGGTACTCATCCATATCAACGTAGTTCTTGTTGATAGAGTCCATGATGAGTTTGTCACACTCTGGCTCCATCCATGTAGTCACAAATGAAGCTAGGTTAAGCCTCGGGTTACCATCAAGCATCAGCTCATCTTTTATGATCTGAAACGCAGCGTCTTTCGGTATCGAATTCTCACCAATCTCATACCTTTTTCAATCAATTCAGAAAATAAAACATCAATATTAAGAAGAAAAGTATTGAAAATGTTTTCCATAATCATTTAGTTTACTTACTTGGGAAGTGTAGTCCGAACATAGCGAGATCCGAACATGGTGCAGACAGATTCATCATTCGTTGCGGTTTTTGTCAAAACCATCTTTGTTTCTTTTTAGTGAGAGAGGATCTGAGGAAGAAGAAGAACACAAAGAGATGAAGAGATGAAGAGACGAGGCTACGTTTATATTGACCCTACATATTTGCTGTCTTTTCCTTTATATGGAGTATATCATTATTATTTTATTTTTGTGAGTTTTATATTAAGTCGACGATATTCGCATCTAAAAAATATCACAACAGATCGTAAAGATATTTAGACGTATGTGCCATTTTTTTTTGTTAAAAAAGAAAAGAAAAAAATGATACGCATGAAATAATTACTTTCTAGGAATTGTTTTTTTTTTTTATGTTACTATTAGAGTAGGTTTGGTAATGTAATTTAATTACCAAATTTTATCACACTACCCATAACTTTTTATTTTTACGTCACAGTATTGTTTAAGTAATCAATTTTTTATATTTAAATAAAAATCATAACACCTAAAAAGGTAAATTAATTGTATAAAAATAAAATGATGCATTAATATTTATAATAGAGAATCTTTTATTTTAATAATAATTTACTGCTTTGACTAAAATTATAATCCACATTTTAATTGAAATTATTTTATTGATATTAAGTTTCATCGAGATAAAACTAAATGGAACAAAATCAATAAAGTCTATATATATAATGCAGTTAAACTTCTATAAATTAATACTCGATAAAGTAATAACCTCTATAAAATAATAAATTCTTCCGGTCCCGAGTTGAGACAAGTGTAAAATACGATATAAATCGATAAAATAATGAGATAATATTTTTTTGAAAACCTTATATAAATATATGATCACATCAATATCATAAATTAATAATTATTAATTAATTTATCGATAAATAAATACTTGCATAAATTAATAGAATTTCACGGTCCCAATATTATTAATTTATAGAGGTTGTACTGTAGTCGGATTTGAAAATTGAATAGCGTTCGCTACTAGGACATATCACTGTTACAATTCACCAAAGTTATTTAAAGAAAAAAAAACATTGGCTTACTATATGAGAAAAGTGCTCTAAGTTTTTTTTTTGTCAACCGCATATTAATTAAAAATTAATTTCATGATTAGTTATTCAATCTAGAGAAAAAGAGTTTACATAAATAACTTCAGAAAATAAAGTGTAGAGAATCGAACTAAATAATCCGTTTTTAAATTACAGAAACAAGAAATAGAAGAAAGAGAAAAAAAAATAAAGGAATCACGAAGTAATCCAAATTCATCTAGCAAATTGGAGAAAGCGGGCCATTCTTCAGGGGAGTATACCATTGAAGCTAACTTTATACAATCAGTTTTAAACGCATGACAATCAATCTTTCTTGAAAAGACATTATTCATCGCTCAAATTAAAGCTTTCAACTATGAATAAAGGGGGGAGGGACACCTCCGAAGGCACTTCACACTAAGAAGTATTGTTTGATCATTTTCTTGGAAACACCACCATCCTACGCTCATAGTTGGATCGATAGATTTCCATGATCCATCAAACCAGCATCTTAGAGTTTGAGTTGGACTATCCAAAATTTCCCTGAAAACATTAGATTCAATCGGGTCCAATTGAGCTTCTTCCTATATTAATTGTTCATTCAAAGCGTGATTTAAAATATATGTATATTCGGATTGTAATCCCTTAAAAAAAATTTTGTTCCTATATTTCCATCTGAACCACAAAATCCAAATGGTCTAAATTATATTGATAATAAAAATATTTTTTTATTTTATTCAGTACTTTAAATAACGCTTGTCTGCAACCATATGTGCGCTTTCATGCCCACTATTGGCATAAGTTTTTTTATTTACAACTCACATGTTGCCAAATATTCGTAGGTGAAACTGTAATACGTTATATTTTTTTATAAGCAAAATTTTCACGACTTCTGTAACTTATAGCACCTCCATCAATGGTATGGTAGAGGGGTTCTCAAAAATTATTAAAGTATAAATATTAATATAAATATTGAATAGGCTCTTTACATGTAAGAAACCCATCTAATAGTTTTTCAAAATTTCTCATTTGAAAAACTATTAAATAGGTTCTCACATTTAAAAAACTCTATTTAATATTTATATAAATATTTTTAATTTAATAATTTTTGAGAAACCTTCCGTCATACCATTGATGGAGATGCTCTTATATAATCTAATGAGCTATGATGTGAATAGTAGCATAAATTACAATTGATTTATTTTTTTCTTTTTTGAAAGAATTTTAAATTTATTCAACCCAAGAAAAAATCAGTTTTACATTTTATGCAGCCTTCTATTGAAAAAATTGTTTGAAAGAACTTTGAGAAGATAGAGAGAAAAGTGTAAGTTCCTATATGGAATAATGCTCAAAATATGGTCTCTTGCATCAAACCAAATGCGGAGTCCATCTTCAAACTTGGATGAGACTCGTTTCTTAATTGTGGTTAATCTGTCGCGGACTTGATGATCAATAAACTTAATGAGTTTGTCCGTATAATTAGGCTGCTCGCCATATCGCCTCTAATTCTTTTCTCTCCATCATGTCCCTTGTTGTCAAACGATTATGAACAGCGAGCCAAGATAATTTTTAAAAAATCCTATTGTGTTAATTGTGTTCCAATATTCTAGGAAAATTGTAGTCTCTTTTCTTCTTTGGAAAACAAAAAGAACATAAAATCCTTGTAAGGTTAAATGATCTCTACATGCATAGTAAACTTCTTGATCAACTACGCTTAGATGTAATATTTATTAAAATAAAAACATTTACGTAGATATTGAAATCACCTCCATAGCAATTGCAACCGCAACACCACTGAGAACATATCCAATAATTCCACGTTACCACCTCTTATACATTATCTTCGTATCTTATTTTTTGAAGAGAAAAGAAATACTAATCACTTTACACATAGTCTCCAGAATTAATGATAAAAACGAGATACCAGACAAAGACATGTAACATAGTTTCATTATCATTTGTGCTTTGTGTCTCGTTTTCTGTTATCATTGTTTGGAACTTATGTGTAAGATGATGCTTGTATTTATTTTTTGCCAAAATATAGAGTACGAGGAGAAGGCTGAAGAGGTAGCAACGCTGAATGATTGGAAATGTCCTAAGTGAATATACAATTACAGATTTAAATGATATGAACCTACAGAACTTAAGAGATCAAAATATTTGAAAACATTAAACATGATTAAATTGATGAAATTTGTTCTAAAGTTCTTTTGATGAATACATACCTTTGCCCTTCTTTTTTTAACATATTTTGAGATCCATTCTGATGTGACTCAAATTTTAGACAAAGTCTCATCTAATATATAACCAAAGGTTTTAGAAATTATATTTTAGAAAAGTTGGAAATTTGTTTTTAGCGAATCCACAGTTTAATATAGAATCAAACTTTACCTAAAGAAATGAATTTTCTGAAAACGACTCATTTTAAACAAATGACATAGTATATAAGTAAATAAAGAAATTTGGAAAGAACTTTATAAAAAGAAAACTTAATTTTTATTCCTCAAAGAAGACAAAAATATAGTACTGTATATGTAACTAGTCAAAGAAAATCTGAAATAAAAGGAAATAATTATATATGTTTGACCAAAATGAATAAAATAATAAAAAATCATATATAAAATAGAAATATATTTTACAATCCAGAAATAGAAGATGAGAGATTAGTGGATATCTCCTCACAACTTTTAGTTCCCTAAGGGATATTACCTCTCTGCTTTTCGAATATTTGCTATTAATGCTTCCGTCAAATAATAAATAGATAAGATGATAATGAATAATGAGTGAATTTGTGCAGAGACGTAAATCTAATAAATAATTAAGAAACCGGTATAAGTCACGAGCGTTGGAGACAACATTGAAAAAAAGGTTGGAATAGGGCTGGTAGTTGATAATAATTACAAGAATACCAGGTCGGGCTTTCGACGTGCGCGTGGGGGAGGATAATGTGGCTTTATGAATGAACGTTCTGACACAAATTAAATGAGAAGTGATGTTAATAAATGCAACAGATCTTAATTCGAACTAACTCAAATTTGAATATAGACAACTATCGTAGTTGCATGGACACTCAATAAATAGTTATTTTGAAAATTTTAAATAACTAACCTAATTGCATGGACACCCAATAAATATTTTACACGATTTTAACATTTGTACATAGATAAACACATACATAGATCTGCATGTATACTTTGTAGATCTATTTGTGAAGATCCAAAAAATGTTTTAAGTCCTTATTTGTATCGTGAAAGTTATCTTCTCCGATGAATAAACAATGGCGGTGTGAATTGTAAACAAGACGATGTTTTTCTTATCGGTGCCCACCAAAAAAAATGTTTTTCTTATCGGTTGAATAAATTAGAACCAAATGAAAAGAGAGATGAACATGAGATATGCATCTATATTTTGTAGATCTATTTGTGAAGATCCAAAAAATGTTTTAGACTCTTAATTGTATCAGAAAAATTATCTTTTCCGATGAATAAACAATGGCGGTGTAAATAATAAACACAACACTGCTTTTCTTATCGGTTTTAATGAATTAGAGCAGAGTTGAGAGAGATGAACATGAGAAAAAAAATGGGAAATGGGCCAATTTCCCGGAGAAGACAAGCTTCGAGTAGACATCGAGCAATTTCCCAAAACACGGCCGAATCAATTCAAGCTCCGTCGGTTGTAAAGTCTTTAGGACAACTTTAATCGTGTGTAGCTTGAAGTACTGGTTAACACGCTCACACACATGTTTTTCACGATCGGCGAATAACCTATCAGGAAGATCTAGATCCCACATGTTCCTGAAGAAAAAAAGAGAAGATTTTCATCAGTTATTAGACCACCTGGAAAAAGTATGAACATGCAAACACGAAATTATAGATCTATGTTGATTTGTGAATATCTAAACCAGATCTAAAAAAATAGGTAAATAAACTAAGTGGGTCTGGGAATAGGAATGACTAATATAGATAGTTAGGATTTTGTTGCAAACGACGGAGAAATAGTAGATTCAAAACCAACGCCGGTGACTAGAAACACAAAAAAAACATAAATCGACCAAAGATTTCATTGAAT